CACACACACAACCTTCTCCAGGTTAATGGAATATTCATCCAGAGAGACCACATTATTGGTCATAAAATACATCTTAATAAATGTAAAATGATAGCAATCACATAATATTTACTCTCCTACAACAACGGAATTGAACTATAAATAACAAAGATAACTGGAAAATACTGAAACTTGAACACATTTCTTATAATTCATGGGTCAAAGAAGATATCTCAAAAGAAATCTTAAAATATGTTGCACTTAATGAAAATGAAAACATAACTTTATCTGATTTTTGTGGGATGCAGTTAAAGAAGTGCCCAGAGGAATATCTACAGGATTGAATGCATAAATTAGAAAAGAAGAAAGATCTAAAATCTAAGTTTACACTTTAGAAAACTAGATAAAAAGGAGCAAGTTAAATCCAAAATAATAATAAAAAGAAACAATAATTAGGGAACCTGGAGATGTAGCTCAAGTAGCATTTGCTTAGCATGCACATGGCCATGAATTCAACCCCAGCCTTTGAAATAATGATGATGATGATGACGACGATGATGAACGTGATAACAGTAATAACAGTTTGAAGGCATTTCTCAGTGGTAGAGTGCTTGTTCAATCTGCACAAAGCCATGGGTTTAATCGCTAGCACAGAAAATAGATGATGATGATGAGGAGGAACAATAGAAGGAAGAGGAGGAGGAACTAAAGGAGGAGGACGACGATAATTACAACAGAAATCAAGGAAGTTCAAAATGGAAAATCAAATAGAACATTAATTCTCTACAATCTCTTTCACAGGTTAAAAGTTGGGGGAATATTTTTAAAACTCATTGTCTAAGGCAATTGCTACCTTAATATGAAAATAAAACAAAGACATTACAAAAGAATTATAGAACAATATCTCACAAACACAGATGCACAAAAGACTTAGCAAAATACTAGCAAAGCAAAGGAATTCTACACTATGAAGTGGGATTTATTGCATGTATTCAGGATTTACTAAAATCAATTAATGTTATCTATCAAATCAACAGACTAAAAAAGAAAAAAAAAAACCACATGATAATATCAATAGATACAAGAAAAGAATTTGATGAATCCATAACCATTCCAGATATAGATGCTCAGTAAATTAGGGTTAGAAGAACCTTCCTCAAATTGGTAAGAAATATCTACAAAAACTTACAATTAACAATGTACTTAGGAACTGACTAAAAAAACTAGAACTAATAAGTAACTATTACAAGATTGCAGTATATAACTTTGTATACAGAAGTTAGTTATTTTCTTCTGCTCCAGCAATGAACAGTGGCCTTGGAAATTAAGGACAAATACCACTTACATTAAACACCAAAAACTTAACAGGATATGTGTAATATCTATGTGATTAAGACTACAAAGCTAGGAGCTGGGGATTTAGCTCAGCGGCATATGTGCCTGCCTTGCAAGCGTGTGGTCGTGAGTTTGATCCCTGGTACCAATAAAAAAGAAAAAGACAAAAAAAAAAAAAAAAAAAAAAGACTACAAAGCTCTGAGGAACAAATTAATATTCACGGATGAGAAGATTCTATATTGTTAGGATATCAGGTCTTCTCAATTTGGCTTATAGACATAATTGTGCCCCTTTATCCTTGAAGCATGAATCTCAAGACATTTTCCCCAGCCGCAGTAAATTTCTGAAACCATGAACAATAGAAATTCTCCATGTACTGTGTCTTTTCCTATATGCCATGCAGTATTTCCATATAGTACCATATTAATTTGTCCTTCCATGTTTTATACCCTTCTCCTTTGCATTATTACTGTTGCACTTTAGGACCATTGTTAAGTAAAGTAAGAGTTCCTTGAACACACAAATTATTATGTCATGACAATTGATCTGACAACCAAGACAGCTACTGAGTGACCTATAGGTGGGTGTGAATATGATAAACAAAAGGGCAATTCACATCCTAGGCAGGACAGAGTGTAAAAATGAGAGATTTCATCACAGTACTTGGAATGGTGTGCGCTTTAAAACATTAATTATTTATTTCTGGAATTGTCCATTTACATTTCTGGACTGATATTGACTTGAGTAACTGAAACTATAGCCAGCAAAAAGTGTGAACAAGGAAGGACTACTTTATAATACAGTCTCAATAGACGGCTCATAAGGTTATTTTGTAGATATCTACAAAGCAATTCTAAAGTTTAAACAGAGGGAAAAAATACTCAGAATAGCCAGTACAGTAATGAAAGAGGAGAACAAACCGGGAGGTACTATTTGACTTCAACACTTACTGTAGTTATTAAAATAATATGGTATCATCAACTATAATGATTAAGGTAATATACTGTTGGAGAACAAAATAGACAAATAGATCACTGGAACTGAATAGATGGTCCTAAAATAGGCCCATGTAAATATAACCAAATGATCTTCGACAAAAGATCAAATGCAAGAGAATGGAGCAAATATATCATTTTCAGTAAATGATGCCAGAACAACTGGACATCCTTATGGAAAAAATGAAATTGAATCTAGATATAGACTTTATACCCTGCATAAAAATGACATCAATATGGACTACAGACAGAATTAGAAAACATCAAGCTATAAAACTTGTAGCAAATAACAGAAAAAAACCATGAGATAATTTTGTGACAATGCTACTTTAGATAGCAACAAAAGCATATAATCCATGAAGCAAATAACTCACAAATTGGACTTCATTACAATTAAAACTATCAAAAGAATAAGTAGAAAAGTTACAGATTGGAAAAAATATATACAAAGGATACATCTCGTAAAAAATTGTTATCCAAAATATATGCAAAGAGCTCTTACTCAACAATAACAAAACAAACAGCCTGATAAAAAAATGAACCTAACGCCTTAAAACACACTGCACCATATAAGATAAATGGACGGTGAAAATACAAAAAGATACTCTATATTACATGTGATCAGGGAAATGCAAATTAAAAGTACAATGAAAGGGGCTGGGGATTTAGCTCAGCGGCATAAGCGCCTGCCTTGCAAGCAGGCAGTCGTGAGTTCGATCCCTGGTACCGATAAAAACAAAAAAGACAAAAAAAAAAAAAAGTACAATGAAATATTGCTACACGTTTATTGGAATGGGTAGATCTCTAATACATCAAACACTGGGGGAAAGGCATGGAACAACAGGAACACGCATTCATTGCTGATGGTAATGCAGAAAAGGCACAGGGTTCAAAATTACTGAGGCATTTTGAAACACAGTTATTTCAACAAAAAGTGAACTTACCTTTAAAAATGTCACTTGTCATTAAAAAAAGACTGTAATAACTCTTCCAATAGGACACAGTATTGTTTAAAAATAATTAGCTTTCCAACTCAATTGTTTAAAATAGTTTTGTTGTTGTTTTTCTTTTTGATGTTGGAGATTAAACCCAGGGCTTACATATGTTAGCCAAGGGCTACAGCTAGAGTATTGAGCTGTATCCCTCACCCACAATGAATAGATCTTAATTTACTGTACGTCTAAGAAAAGGATTGGGACAAGATAACACTTCTCAAATATGCTAGCAACAAGAATAATATGAAACCTTATATTAGCCTCCAAATGTACCTTCTAAATATCCTGACTTTTGAGGGCTCATTAATAAGCAGTCTCATTCAGTTTGTACTGAACTTGGAGAAAAAATTATTCCCATCAGCAGTTACAAATGACTATACATGTGGAGGGCTATTATATGACAAGTATTATGCTCTGGTTTTAGATGTGTGGTCTTGCTCTCACCATATGTCTACAAAGTGAATTTTTCCTCAACTTTCCAGATGAGGAAACCAAAATTCAATAATTCACCCAGGTATTCAGTAATGAAATACATCTCAAGCCAATTCTTCTGTGGTATCAAAATCTGCTGAACAGGAATACCAAAAGATTCTTCTGTCTCTATCTGCCAAGAAGAGGGATGTTAAAGAGATTTGTCATCTTTTTAGAGTCTAGTTATCATTTTCCTTCCTGAAAGAAGAGAGATATGATATTTTGAAATCCCTATGTACAGGATGTGGGAGGGTAAAATATATATAACTTTTAGGGATATAGGTGCTTTGCTTTGCATGCTTAGAATGAAGTTTCATTAAACAGGTACAATAACCTTTTTTATTTTTCTGGTGCTACGGATCAAACCCAGGATCTCATGCATCCCAGGCAAGGGCTCTATCACTGAGCCACATCCTTAGCCCCAAGAGAATAATTTTTAAGTGAATTACATCTTAAAAAATTACATTTTTAAGTGAATTACATCTTACCCTTTTCTTACATCTCTCCTTGATATCAGCTTTATTCTGACTCTATGGAGGCTGCAGGCTACATGCTCAGTGGACAGGAGAAATGACAGCCCCAGACCTCAGCCCTGAGTGCTAGGGTATGCTGATGATTATACGGTCTACTTGAGGTGGGAGTGGATTGAAAACTACAGAAGAAAATAGCTTTTCCTTCTGGCTAATAGATGAGAAGAGTCACCCCATCACATCAAAGGTACCCACGTTCATCTGCCAACAATGGGGCTGTGACCATCCATCTGCAATGTCACCAGCTCGGCAGCCCAGTCAGCCACATCTGGAAAAGTTAAGTGAACTGCAGAGTTGACACATGTTAAGGAATGTTTTCAGCACAGCATATTGACAACAGACAGTTTTTCCCCAATTTGCATCAAACTAATAAGTTGTTTGAAAGTTAACAATTCAAAGTTTAGTAAGTCAGTGAAGAGACTACATTTTACTGCTAATTGCAATTCTTTGAAAAGGTGCAGAAGGGATAATAAGATTTATAAATTGAGTAACCCTAATCTAGGGAAGTGGGGAAGTGACCTACAAAGGACCCACCATGTGTACCCTAGGAAGACACAGGTTTTAGGGACCCTCTCAGTGAGAGCTTATCACACTGGACAATTTTCTGCCTATCTTTCAGTGGCTGAATACCCAAAGTGTGAGCTCATATACTCTTCAAATGACAGCATGCCAGCCCTACAGTGGTCTCTATGGCTTCTTTGGTGGTTTCAATTTTGGATGTCTCAATTTCTAATGAGTCTTAAAACAAGAATCATGTCTTAATGCTTTCTTACTGTTTTTGTAGTTTTGAGCAAGGACCCACATGGAAGGCACTTCAGAGCAAACGTCTTTTGTTCTAGTTTGGTGTAATGATCATCATATTTACATAAGGACAAAGAAATAGAAAGACAATGCTTAGTAGCTCTAATCTGTGTCTTCTACAAGCATCTCAACTCAGGGGAAAAATTGTCTTTTATATCTTTCTCAAATGTCATTCCTTCATTGATGTTTCCTGTTGGAATACAGTACTAACTTGGAGATGGATGTGGGAATTGCATGTAGAGCCTTTGCACTGAGCTACATTCTCCATCCTTTTTAAAATTCTTATTTTGAGTCAGGGTCTCATTAAATTGCTAAAGTTGTCCAGGCTGGGCTTGATCTTGCAGTGATCATGCTTCAATGGTGTATTGTTTAATAAGTATGTTATCTACACAGGCCTCAAAGGATTTCCTACAGGACATTTCAGAAAAGAAAAGGAATTTTGTAACAGGGACAAAAGTAATTGCTTTGCCTTTCTCCAAAAGCTCTAACTCTAGGGCTAGCTCCATGGCACATGTAGCTATTCTCAGGCAGGTCTGTACACAAAAACATCCTGACTAAAGGCATAGACCATCCCTTTTGTTTTTATCTGAAAAGCTTTCTTTTGATAGAAAATATTTACATTTGGGTCACCAGCTCACAGACATCCTCCTAGCCCCACGAATGACTGAAGAAGCTCTGATTTGTCACTTTTCTATCGCTAATAGAAATTGCTACTGCTAATAGATACTGTTGAGATTTTAATATTTATTCTCCACATCAATAGCGGAGTAGTTCTTGTGTGGACTCTGGTCAGACAGCCTGGGTGTGTAGCTGACCCTCCTCCTGAGTATATTATCTTGGGCAACTTAGAAAACAGAAAACAAAATGAAACTAAAAATGAAAACAGGAGAATCCAAAAAAGTCCAACTCTTTATTTTACACGAGGCTGAAAATTAAATGATTGAATATGTTTGAAGCGCTCAGAAATTATAGGCTATTATTATTATTTATGTTGTTATTTGAGGGGCCCAAGCAGAGGCCTTATGTAATGTCTGGCATTGGTTTCTAAACAGAATAAATGGGCTCAGTCTCATCATCCAAAGGCTCTCAATTCTTGGCATAGAGCAGTAAGTTGCTGTCTTGAATAACAGTGTAGAGGGCAGAGCTGTACCAGCAGTAACCTGCGGGATCCCGTGGGTGCTTTGCTCTGGAAAGGAGGAAGCTGGAGACAGCTCCCACTTCCCACCCTGGTGGTGGAACTCACAGTGGGTGCTGCAGCTCTGCTCTCTCACCATCCGGCAACTGCAGGCTCTGGATCTGTTGTCATTGGCTCAGCTAAAACCCACACTTCCAATTTTCACACTATCTGTAAATGTTTCATTCCAAAGGCTTTCCTATTTAATATCAAACAAGTGGGGAAAAAATTTTACCGCTCATTAGCGCAGTGCCAGACTTCCACTGGGATATGGCGGCAACTGGCGCTCAGCTGCATGGAGACCTCAGTAGGATTTCTCAAATGGCTGAATGGAGAGCAATACATCAGCCTCCTGAAATCTCACATGCCATTTGGTTTAAATATTAAAGTTCCTTTGAGGTTAAGTAAGTATTAGAACCAGAAGGAAGGCAGGTTTACAATCTGTGAGCCTGGGACCCACATGCTCCAACTGTCACACATCTTTTCAGTAGGAGGGGTCACTGTAGCCACAAATCTCCCCAACTCCATTTACCAATCAGAAATGGACTTGCACATTCTCATCAACCTTTGTTCACAGTCTAGACTCACAGACTGTCCAACAGGAACATAGGGCAAGTCACAAGTGGGAGGACTTATCATAGTGCACACTCCTTAGTGGTTACATTTTTTAAAAAAGTAAAAAGAACAGGTAAAACAAATTTTAATGAAGTATTCTATTTAACCAGATACATCCACAATATTGTCATTTCATCATGCTATCAATATGAAAGTGATTAGTGAGATATTTACTTTTTTGTGCTATGTTGCATACTAGGGCACAGTCTATATTTAGAGCATACCTACGCCACAGTCAGCCACCTTTCAAATGCTCAGTAGCTACTGTATTGGACAGGACAGGCCTAGATTCTGGACTCAGTTCATTCCATACATTATACTACATCACAAAGTAGCAGGCCAGTGGTGAAAACACCACCCAGTGGAGCCTGAGGAAAGGTCTCAAGAGGCTGAGAAGAGTTGGGAGGACACTGTGAAACAGAATCTGTCACCACAGCTCCTTTTGAAGTGCATTTGTTTGCAATAACTTTTATAAACATCATTCCCTCTCTCCTCTTTGTTTCAGTTTGGGGACCCAATTTATCTCTGACGAGGAAAGTATTATTTTCTCAGCTGCAAATCATGTTAATTGGGCAGCAGATAGATAGGAATGTGGAGTAAACAGCCCAAGTACCCCTAATGCTTTTGATGACTTTTCCAGCCCCATACTGTAGGTACTGTATTGAAGTGAGACATCCCCCTCTTCTTGTTAATGGTGACAAGGGCCTGCCTACTGCAGGGAGGTGGGGTCAAGAAAGCATGCTAATGTGAGCTTATTTTAAAGTTTTGGGTCTTGTTCTTTGTTTGTGGTTGACTTTTAGATAACTGGGATCCTTGGTCATGGCAGGGTATTGGGAATCTTCTGTGAAAAGTCTGGCTTGGGAGGTCTTTGCCATACAGAATGGCACTTGGTTAAAGCACTAATTTCTTGTCAAGGAGTCATTGTACCATTGATTTTGCTTCTGTAACACATCCAGTATTAAAGCATCACATCACAGGATGCCTAATCAAGACTAAAGAACAGTGAGAAGTCTGTTTGTCTTTTCTAAAGTAGGAAGAAAGGAATTGTAAAGAGGAGGGAAGGGGAAGTAGCAGAATGCCAACTTGACTCGAGTTGGTCAATGTTAAAAATAAATTGCTATATAAATTGAAGACTTGGTCTCTATAAAACTATCCTACCTTGTACCCACTGGAACATCTTCCTAAAACCCAAGGGTAGGTGTAGTGTGGTTTGAAGCCTACTTTAGGCATACCAACCTTTTCACTAAAGTCATAGAATTCTTTTCTTCAGAGTTCTCAGTATGAGCTTGTTTTTCTGTCTTAAATACACATTCACATTCTACTGTCAGAAGGCCTATTTATATATCAAGAAGGGGACACTGCAATGTGGCATTCAGAGTCCCAAGACTACAGAGGATTTGTCTCCAAGTTCAGCACGGTGCCTATCTACAACTTCAGGGAGAATGTGGCTGACTAGAGTGAGTGTAATAACACCTGGAAAAACATAGTTCCTTATTCCTAATTCACTTTTGTTATTGTTTACCCTTGTCTGCCCTTTCCTGCCTACAGATGCTTAAAAGTAGTGATGGTCATAAAGAAAAGATAAGCTGAAGTCATTTGTAGGAAAATGAATGCACATTGAGACCATAATGTTAAGTAAAAGACAGATAATAGGAAGTAGGAAGATAGATCTTTCTCAAAGGGAAAGTGGATGGAAGGGAGAAGGGAGAGAAAAGGTTGAAAAAGGAATAGTAATGTGTTACGTACATGCACCAACTCCACAGAAGGAATATATACATTATGTACTGCAAACCATACTCATTTCAAAAAATGGGGGAAAAAGTAATTTATTAGTCAGTGTTGCCTAGAGAGCCTGTTAACATACAGATTCCTGGCCAACCCTTCACAGATCTTCTGAGTTAGTAGATCTAGGATCCTGGCCCAGGAGTTTGCATCTGTAGGTGTATCCCAGGGTCTTTTTATGCCACACACCATGTCCCAGAAGCCCCATTGTCTGTCTGCTGGAGTAACACAATAGCAATGTGTAATTTTGTTCTGTGCATTCAAAAGGTAGTGCTATGATTTTGGAGTTGTGCTTTATCTTGGGAAATCTACCTAAGGCATCTTTCTGAGCACACATTAGTAGAAAAAAAATCATCAAAATTATTTTTTCTCCTAAAAAGCTTTAGATATCACCTGAGAGGGCAGCCAGATTTTGTCCTAGCTGAGCAGTGCAAATAATGATTGTGGCATTGCCCTCAGGAAGCATCAGAGGAATGGCTGATCTCCTGATGCCTCTTTTCTGGAGTTTTCTCATGCTTTCCGCTATGTGATCTGATCAGAATTAATAGGATAAAAGGTGAGTGTCCTACCTTGAATTAGCTTGTATAAAATAGTAGTGACTTTTGAGTGACAGGTCCAGCAGGAGAGTTACCCCACCCTGGAGAATACCTGGCTATTCTCTCAAAGGCAGGGAGTCAGCTAAATGAGGAAGGTACAGTAGATACAAGCAACAAAGCTGCATCCAAATCACCATATGGTGAACGTCAGCAAGCCAACTGTAGTAACTAGGTATCTGCCCTGTGTTGGTGAAAATGTTGCAGTTTTGATTGTAAGAACATACATGTATTTATTCATTTACTTACTTACTTAAAAGAGGGTAAAATTAAACATAACACAACAGAGCAAAATAGATCATAAGAAAACAATTTAAGAAACACAGATTTCAAAGCAAGACCACCGGAGATCTTCAGAGTCTATTATATTGTCTCTTGTTTTCTTCCAAATAGTTGTCCATATCTTCACACATAGTGAATTCATACCGAACAAAATAATATAACACTGATCCACAAAGGATGATGAAAGCATTTTAGGTCTTCAAGACCAGACAATAGGGAAGTCAGCAAAGACTGCCATAATGTCTCTTGTTCTCTTCAAAATAGCTGTCCATACCTTTATGTATGTTGAAATTCTTTTAAACAAAAGAAAACAGAATAATATCACTCTGAACAGAGAATAATAGTATTGCTCGATTTTATATTATGATGCTATGGAATTGTACTGGGTATCTTAGTGTCTCTTTTTTTCAAAGTATTTGTTCATTACATCATGAATTATATAATCAATTCTCATAAACTGTTTACAAGTTCTACACATGCATGAGTCTCTACATGTATATCTATCCTTTCTGTATTAGAGTAAAAAAAATCAAAATAAGACAACAAAACAAATTCCTAGAAAAACACAAAGTGAAAAAGACATATAAAACCATACTACTAGGTGATCTACAATAGTTACTATGATGTCTCTTTTTATGTTCAATAGAATTATCTATATCATCTGGCATAGTATAATTGAACATAGCACTACGTAGCAATATTAATAACTTGTGATCTTCAGAGTAACTGCCTCTATGCTCAGACTTGATACTATCAAGCATACCACATTCGAATAAAATCAGTCAAGACAAAACATTGTTCTAACAACCAGATTCAAATAAGATCAGTCATAGTTACACATTGTAAGTAATACAGGGCTTCAGTTTAAGTTAATAGGAAATTAAGGATAGTTACTGTAGTATATCCTACAGCTATTTTTGGGAGCTGTCTTTGCTCTCAAATCTAGTAAGAGTAGACTGGAACAGAAAAGAATCAAATTAAACAGTGATAAGAATAATGTGGATTTTAAATCCTGATACACTATTAACAATGTCCTCTGCCTCCCTTTTTTTAGAAAATTCCTCCCTTTTCACTTTCACAGGATGCTTTGAACATTTTGGGTCCCACTAACTCTAGTTTTTAGATTAGGGGGGCAACCCACTATCTACCTAAGTGATTCTGAACCTTTTTAACCCCTGAGCTTGATCGTGAGCTGTATTCCTTACTAAAGCCTCAAGACTTTCCTTCCTTATAGCTGAGTAGTTCTCCACTGCACAAAAGTGTCATGATTTTCCAATCTAACTGGACGAGCTTCCCCTATTTCTCTTTGGGTCCCTGTCATGTAGAGCATTGTTTTCTCATCTTTGACTTTCGGTTCATTAACCCTCTTTTAGGTTGATTATATTTCCTATTCAGAGCATCTTGATGGACCCTATCTGCTGATCTACTCTGCCTGTGTTTCTTTTTGTTAGGCTATCAAGGCCATCTGTGTTAGAGATTTTAGCCAATCTTCCCTGTCTCATCTCTGCTATGCTATTTTTCTGCTGTTGGCTGTCTACTTTTCTCCTTCATTCCACTGTCTGCCCTGTTCGTTGAGGCCTCTCTGCCACTGTTCCTCGAATCCTGGTGATTTTTTGTAGCGTTGGATTGGTGGTCACAAATTCCCCAGGCCCTCTTTGTCAGGGAAACATCTTGTTTCTCCATTAATTGTGAGAGACAGTTTTGCAGGGTATATCAGTTTGAGTTGGAGGTTATTTCTTTCAGGACTTGGAATACTTTGTTCCAAGCTCTTCTTGATTTGATGGTTTGTGTCAAGAAGTCTATTGTGATTTTGATGGGTTTTCCTTTATAGGTGATCTGTTTCTTTTCTCTGGCTTCTTTTAATATTCTTTTCTTGTGATGAATTTCTGGGATCTTGATTATTATATGTCTGGGTGTAGATCTGTTTTGGTTGTAGCTGGTTGGAGTTCTGTATGCCTCATACATCTGAATATCATTTCCTTTTCCTATGCTTGGGAAGTTTTCCTTAATTATTTCTGTGAATAGTCTTTGTATTTCATTTATGTTTACCTCTGCTTCTTCACTCACATTTTTATTCTTGTTATAAATCCTCTTGTTGTCTTCTAGCCTTTGTATTGTTACTTCTAGGTTCCTTGTTATTTTTAAGAGATCTTTCACAATCACTCATTGCAAATCTATCTTCAAGCTTTGAAAGTGTAACTTTAGTTTCTGTCAAGCAATTTTGCCAGGTTCCAATGGAGTTTTTAATTTCCTGGTAATCTCTCTGAATCTGTTTCATGTATTCTAGATTTTGTTTTTAATCTTCATCAAAGATTTCTCTCCTTTTTTTGGGTTCCTCCATTTTTCCAACTGTGTCTTCTTGAGAGATGCTTAGCATTTCTTTATTAATCTTCTTATATCTTGCTTCACTTGAATTAGAGTTTCAGTTTTAAGTTCATCTTCGATGTCACAGAAATAGTTCTTTATGTTGGCTGATACCATGTCTGATATTGCATGTTTGCTGTCCGTGATCTCTTGTGTATTTACCTCTCCTGGACTTATTTTTCCTGGGTCAGTGGCTAGAGGCTTTTTCTTGTTTCTTTCTCTTGTCATGTTTCTGGTTTCTTTCAGACAGGTGTATGGTAGAGGACTCAGGTCCTTTCTGTACTGCTTACAGTTTTTCTGAAGCATACTGGCTAGAGGATTGCTGCCCTCTCCAGTTTGTTGTTGATCTGTCAGGTGCACACAGGAATGATGTGGGCTGACTTCTCTCCTCCAGGCCAGTCTACAGCTAGTGTCTTCCCTGCATTAGTCTGTGCCATGCAGAGGTCACAGGTTTGGGACAGTTTTGTTCCTATTGGATCTCAACCCAAGCAGATCCCACCAGTCAGCTTTGGGCTAAGAGCTACTACTGATGCCACTGTGGTTCTGGGTTCAGACCCATCCTACCCAACTCCAATATGCTGTACAAAACTAGCCTGTTTTTATTTTGCTTCTTGACACATGCACATTCCATCTACTTCTGGGTTCTCATGAGTTAGAAGGAACTGAAAAGAATCAGAACCACTGTTATCCTCTCCTGTCTTTACCTTCAGTGTCAGTGGTTGCTTGATATAGGGAAGTAACACAGGTAAGAGATGGTAAGATAGGCTTCCTTGGTTCTTTGTTATTTCTTGTTGCAGAGACAAAATAGTTCACACCAAATTTAAGGAAGGAAAGGTTTAATTAGCTGACAGTTTTTGGAGGTTTCAGTCCATACTTAGGTGGTTCCAAGGCAGGGTTTTGTGGCTAAAGGGCAACCATCCATGGCAGCCACAAGTGACAAGAGTGAAAAGAGCAAAAGGGGAGAGAAGTGAGAAGACTTTTTCTGTCTCTTATATTGTTTGTAGGCTACACACACTTGGGTGTGGCAATCACACCTATAATCCCAGCATTGGACCATAAGTTTTTCACAAACTCTAGAAGCCTGCCTCCGTGACTGCATGAAGGTTTGGGGGAATATCCGGACTCAAACCATAACATTTGTGTTTCTTGGAATGTCATTGTCTTCTTTCTGTATTTGAAGCCACTTCAGGTTTGGACATCATGGCCTCTGGGGGATGGCAGTATGTATATTAATCAGATGCATGTTCCTACAATAAAAATACCTAAGGTAAAAAAGGAAATGTTTGGTTAGGGATGTAGCTCAGTTGTAGAGCATCTGTTAGCACATATAAGGATATAGATGCATCCCCAGTGTTATGGGTCATATCTTGATGTCTCCCCAAAGCCTCATGAGCTCACAGGTGAGGCTTTGGGTGTAATACTCACCAGAGGTGGATTAGCCCACTGATGAATTTATACCTAAATGTGTGTTGAGATGTGAAAACTGGTCAGAGGAGGTATGGCCTGGAAGGATATATCTTCCTTCCCCTTATCTTGATCTTTCTCTGGTTCCTACAATGCCATGAACTGTTTCTCCTCTGCAATGTACCTGTGCCATGATGCACTGTCTTGGAGCCAACTGACTATGGACTGAAATCTTTGTAAACTACGAGCCAAAATAAACCTTTCTTCCTTCGCTTTGTGAGTGTCTGGTATTGTGTTTCAGAGATGAGAAAGTGACTAAGACACTCAGCACAAAGAAGAGGGAAAGGAGAGAATAGGTTTATTTTATTCATTGTGGATTTGTGTGTGTGTGTGTGTGTGTCTTTTTTTCCTTCTTATTGGTACCAGGGATCGAACTCACGACTGCTTGCTTGCAAGGCAGGCGCTTATGCCGCTGAGCTAAATCCCCAGCCCCTCGTTGTGGATTTTCAAATCCAAGACTGGATGGTCCATTCATGTGGTTTCTGATGAGGGTAGTGAGTAGCATGGCAAGAGTATGTGTCAGAGTGAATAGGGCCACATCTAGATCTAGAAAGGGGAGAGAGAGAGAGAGAGAGAGAGAGAGAGAGAGAGAGAGAGAGAGACAGACAGACAGAGACAGACAGAGAGAAAGAAAGAGACAGAGAGAGACACAGAGACACCAAGACAGAGAGAACACAGAAATAGAGAGACAAAGGCAGAGACAGTCAGGGACAGAGACAGAGACAGGGAGTGCCCCTAAAAGTTCATACCATCTCAAAAAAAAAAAAAAAAAGTTCATAACATCTCTAAATGTCTCCACCCTTGTCCAATCATAGCTGCACCTCTTTTCACCTAGACTCAGCATAGTTACTTTGAACTTGGCTTAAGTCTTGCTGAACTCCCATGTATTTTGAGTACACTGGGATTCTGTGCTCACAGGATTTTAGAAACACAACATATGAAGGAGGCAGGCCATGCATTGTATGAAGATTCCATTGTACTGTGGACTTTGCTTACAAAATACAAGCTCAGTAATAAAATTATGAAGTTTGAAAGTGCTGGTAGCAGGGCAAGCACAGGGCCTTTTTGAGCATGGGTAGCTATATGTGACTGTACACTCACACAACTTGCAAAGCTTGGCCTGCACTGAGCAGTAACAAATAGAATGTTTTTTATCACTTTGCTGGACAAAAGTAATAAAAAGTACAATTGCATCTTGCAACATGCTGTTCCAGCTTTCTACCTCAGTAGCTCAGCTATACAGTCTCAGAAATGAATTCCTGCTGTATTTGTTGGTGAGTCTACTGGCCTAAAATTATCCTCCATTAAACTTCAGTGTGGTCAACAAAACAATGTCTGGGTGGCTTGTGGGGCTTCTCGGACTTTTGCAATATTTCATGGGTGGGTGGAAGCAGCGCCCTGCAGAACCAACTTCTCATCTGCTATCATTACGGGGTTCTGCCAGGCACCTTTGGAAATAATGCCTTCTTGTCTTCATTCTTTGGGACCATGGGGCTTTGCAGTAATAGCAAGGTTAGTAGGTTCCTTTAAGCAAGAAAATAGGAAAGGAAGCTAATTTTCAAGTTGTCTCCTTGATATTTCAACTCCTTAGTGCAGCCTCAGTAATTTTACTATTGTTCCTTTTGTCAACATTCTCTTGCTTTGCCTTTCATTGTGTTACATTTGTCTGCCTGTTACCTGTGACCACTCTAGTCCTTCCCCTTACCAAACCAATGGCTCTCAGGTTACTTTCCCTAAATTACTCTTTTTTTTGTGTGGTCTTTTTTCATTTTTACTGGTACCAGGGATCGTACCAGGGATCGAACTCACGACTGCCTGCTTGCAAGGCAGGTGCTTATGCCGCTGAGCTAAATCCCCAGCCCCTCCTAAATTACTCTCGATTACCCCACTCTTCTTGAAGACATTCAGTGGCACACTGACTACATCCTGTTTCCTTATTCTGCCATTCAAGACCCTCCAGAACTTGATCTCAACCTAACTTTCCTTTTGTACTTTCATCTTTCTTTCTGGGAAGGAGACTATCATGTATAATCTATTCCTCATTTGTGATTCAACTGTGCTTTTCAATCCTCCCCCTTCTTTCACACTTTATATATGCAGACTCATCATAAGTACATGGTATCTATTTATAAAGCATTCCACTTCTTATCTACCTGTGGTCAACATCAAATAATAGATGGGAGGAAAGAGTTTGAGTAATAATTTTGCCTACAGAATTAAACATTGATCACTTCTTCTGCTTCCTCAGAAAATGACCAAAGCTATTATTTATTTATACTTTAAGTATAATGTAAAATTATCACAAAATCACAATTAAAGATTTCACTTTTTATCTATTAAATCAAAAGAGATTTAAATAATTCAGCATCGTTCTGACTGATTTTACTATATTCTGCTTTATTTGATAGTATCAAGTTTGAGGGTATAGGCAACCACTTTGAAGGCAGTAAGATTTACTCTGATGCCCATCATGGTTTGACTATTATCTTCTTTTGAAGTCCTGTAAGGTCTCCAATGTAGGTTTTATTGGTCTTGTTCTGATATAGGCAACTCTTTTTAAGATAGCAAGAGGCATTATGGTAACCATTGTTGATCACCTGGTATTCTGTTTTTGCATCATGTACTATATCCATCCTTCTGTTCTCACTGACTCTGTTTTGCTTTGTCACATTTTTTTCTCTTAAAAAAAAAGTTATAAGAACTGTGGGAGTAATAAAACCCAAAAAAGTGTAATTGTTATTGTAAAAAAGAGAGGAAAAGAAAGTGCTCTAAAGGATATAACTGCATGTATATTTAAGTGTGTAGGACAGAAAACCATATTACCGAGTTTTTGTTGGATCATTGAACAGAACTGTCTGCAGTTTCACTGCATGAATGTCCACTTTGTATGCTTTAATTTGTAATTTGGACAACTGTTTCTAAGATGACAATATGTAATCTATTAACTAGTGATTTCTTACTTTATATTTTTTTCTTGAAATTCTGTATTACTTGTACCCTTTTACTGCTTTGTTTTGTTTCTCCTTTTAAATAAAAAAATAACTCAGCATCTTAAATTCATAAGGCATGATCTGGGAAGATGGTGGAGTGATAAGCAGCAGAAAAAGTGCCTCTTTGAGGATTACCATCTGAATGCTGGAATATCATCATGAGAAAGAGGAAAGGAAACGGGTCCCTTGGATCCAGGAAGAGTCTGAAGCATGAATTGAAGCCCCTGAAGAGAGTGAAGAAAGAAATTTCAACCTAAGGAGGTAGCTGGCAGTGCTTTCTCTCTAGATGGGACTCACTGTGCAAGGTGAGCTATTCAAGTCATAGTGATGGAGACGGCTGGTGATCCTGAAAGCCTCTGCAGACAGACGCAGCAATGGAGGGGAGCAGTGGAAAACAATTGGCTTGGAACCATCTTGGAGATGGGTAGCCTAAGATAAGAACCCAGAATTGCAGCTGGCTCTCTCTAGTGGCTACCATCAGGGCTCAGACTCATGCAAGTTGCTCAGAAAGTGATGAGCCAAATGTGACTGACTGGTCTCCACCAAAAAGTGCAGGCTTACTGAAAGTACCCACTATTCGCCATAAAGCTACTGCTGGCATGCTGGGACAGATTGACATGGGTCAGGACTCTGTCCCTGCAGGTTGTCTGCCAGTGAAAGTAGAGACAAACCTGGAAAAACATGGAACTTTTTTTCCTATCTTCTCTCTCACATTTGCCTTTTAGTATTTGTTTTCTTTCTTTCTTCTTCATTGTTTGACCTTATTTTTATATAAGTGTAAACATGATTTCTAGCCTCCCTGTGGCTCTGCTCTGTTCTTTTCACATCTTCCTTTGCTCTTTTCCTCCAGTCTTCTATATCAGTTTTCCAAAGTTAGCATGATCCCCCTGCATCCTCCTGCCTTACTTCTAATCTCCCTCTTTTTCCAATTCTTCATTTTTTTTCTTAAACTATATTGTGTCTTAACACTTGAGGACAAAACTGACATTATCAATTGTCATATCATTGTATACTCCATATAGTTTTGTGGTTTATACTGTTAAAAGTAGCAAATTAAGGGTTGGCTGAGTGTCATTTTCTGGGCTGTGTTTGATGCTATTGGTACCACTATAACTAAAATTTATACTTTGTTCTAAACAGCTGTTGATCCTGGTATTTCGTGGATGAGACTAAGAGTCACAGAAAATAATGTGGCACAGTGCCAAAGAATCAGGGGCTAGGCCTAAAAAACAATTTCCCATCTCCAACAAACTGAACAGGTGGGATCTTCCAGCAGACTCAAAACCCAAAGGCCAGCTACACCTGGAAGATACCTCAGAGAGATGGTCATCACCTAGGGGTCCTAAATACTAGCACTAAAGCAACTCACATAAGAAATTTACAAGCATCAGTCCAGGAATTAAATTTAAAAAAAAAAAAAGAAAGAAAAGAAAAAAAAGGAGAAGACACTTAAACAAAATTCAACCCCAGACATATGGTTCACCAAAGGCAAATCCAGGGGTCAGGGAGTGCGACAATCAGAAAGTCTCCCACCAGGCCTCTCTGAAATGGTAACAAAAAAGCAATTGAATGAGGCTCTGGAAAAAATGAAATCAGAAATAATCTCTCATATAACTGCAAAGATGATATCCAAAATACGGACCATGCTTGGTGATGCTAGAGCAGATAAAAGAAACAAAAACAAAAACCAACCAACAAACAAACAAACAAACAAAAAAAAAAAAAAAAAAAGAAAATTATGGAAGCTCAGCATGGGAGAGAAGTAGAATTCATAAAGCAGATTCTAGCAGATAACCATAAGAATAAAA